AACGAATCAAGAGAACCGAACTAGGGCTGGACAATAATTCAATATCATTATGTATCGTGATATAATTTTTTTCAATAACGGTGATATGATTTTTAAACACATTTTCGATATTTCGATATACATTACCAGTGTTTCCCATACATTGATTTATTTGTGCCATTTGACTTCATTGAATAAACATGAGCACCGCACGTTTCAAAATCATAACACGGCGTGGGTGTTTTATATGAATGTATCTCTGAAGGGAATTGACTGTCTTCAGAAAAGTTTCGATGGCATTTTCATTTTATCTGATAAAGAAGTGTTCATGAGCGGAGCTGCTTTGTTTACAGCCATTACTGGAGAAACCGCTAGTTTTATCACTCTAAAAGCGCCTCCTGCTGGCAGAGAATGAGTTTGCATTTTCTATAAGCCCGTCACCAGCAACATTTCCAGTTTTTGTTGTTGTTCAATTTTTTTGTTTTCTGCAGCGACTCGGCGCACTTTTCATACCCTTTTTTCTGGCTGAAGCACATTTGTTTCAATCTATAAGAATAATCAGCCTACACTACCAGTCAAAAGTTTTTGAACAGTAAGATTGTTAATGTTGTTATTTTTTATTTATTTTTTTTAATTCTCTTCTGCTCACCAAGCCTGTATTTATTTGATCCAATGTACAGAAAAAACAGTAAAATGTTAAAATATGTTTACTATTTAAAATTGCTTTCTATTTGAATATATTTTAAAATGTAATTTATTCCTGTGATCATACATAGGTACATTTTCAGCATCATTACTCCAGTCTTCAGTGTCACATGATCCTTCAGAAATCATTATTCATTATCATATCATTAATATGCTGATTTGCTGATTATCAATATTTAAAACAGTTGAGTACATTTTTTTTTCAGGATTCTTTGATGAATAGAAAGATCCAAAGATCAGCATTTATCTGAAATAAAAAGCTTTTGTAACATTATACACTATTCCATTCAGTATAATTTTTATTATTTTTTTGGGAAAGAAATTATAGAAATTAATATTTTTATTTAGCAAGGATGCTTAAAATTAATCAAAAGTGATGATAAAGGCATTTATAATGTTACAAAAGATGTCTATTTCAGATAAATAGTGTTCATATCGATATCGGAATTATATCGTATCGACCTAAATTAAGAAATATATCGTGATATCAATTTTGGCCATATCGTCCAGCCCTAGTGTGAACGCACCCCAAAAATGACAAAAGCACATAATAAAATGACCACATTTTAAACCAAATTTAACACGAAAAATTAAAATATCAAAATGATCGCCAACTTCCTCCCCATGACAGTGTAACGTAATAAACAATAATAACAATACTGTAAAAGTTATTATATAAATAGCTTTGACTTCAAATACACAAGTTTTAACTGAAAAAAATGATGTAATGTATAAAAATGTGATTTGATAAAATTGTGCTTTTCTATTCTCGAAAATTAGCCCCATTCACTTCCTTTGTAAATGTCTTGCCATAACCTTGAATGCTGTCAATTGAACTTAACTTACAATAAACCTGGAATATTCATAGCAGATTTACAGTTTTTAACTCTTAACCTGGCCATTTTGACCTTTTTTTGACAAGATTATAAGCATGAAAGGTGCACATTATCGCACTTACAGGGTCTCACATGGGTTTCGCCTGTATTTCGCCGTCCCCCCTCATAATCACACCACATTTTAATGAGAACACAATGAGCTTGAGGTAGACAAAAGAGATGCTGAAACTTTATCAGATGGAGGCAGCACCAGCAGTCTCCCTGTTTGACACACAAGCGAGCGGCTGTGCATGTGAAATTGATATATACTGCAGCTCAGGGATGCATGATAAATGGGTTATGCGAGGGTTATCCGTCAGCAGTCTATAAGTTTATAAGTGCATACATGAGCAGACACACATACAGCATTGATCACCAGTCCAGCCAGTGAGACAGGAAATAATGAAACTCCACTAGCATAAGCACTTTAACAGAAGTGAGCACATGAGTGGGGGTGTGGCAAACCGGAAAGGGCGTAAATCAATCTTAATATCCAATCACGAACATATAAGAGCGCAGCAGGGCATCTGTGTAATGTCCCATGTGATAACTAGATTACAGTTTCTGCAGCAAACGTGACTGGTGCTTACCTGTGCTAAACTCACTGCTATGATACTAGGGTGTTAAATATATATAAAGTTTGGGGTCTGTAAGATTTTTATGCTCACTAAGACTGCAAAGGCTTTATTTGTGATAACCGTAATATTGAGAAATATTTATTGAAATGAAAGTAACTGTTTTCTATTTGAATATATTTTAAAATGTAATTTATTCCTGTCAACAAAGCTGAATTTTCAGCATCATTATTCGAGTCTTCAGTGTCACATGATTCATTCATGATTCATCATTCTAATATGCTGATTTACTGCTCAAGAAACATTTCTTATCATTATCAATGATAAACAGTTTGCTGTGGAAACCATAATTATTTTCAGGATTGTTCGATGAATAAAATGTAAAAAAAACCCTGCATTTATAGAAATCTGCAAAAATATATATACACACACACACTTAATTAAATATACTTCTTCATTTCAGTTAAAGGTGCTAATCTCATAATCAGGAAATATATGCTCTCGGGAGCACGTACATTACAAAAGCTAGTCATTTCTAGATTTCCTTTCTTTCTTTTATCTTTCTCTTTAAAGAGTGAAAATGGGTTTGTAGGTCACAGAGATGGCTGGTTTTACAATATATTACGCGCAACGGTAGAAATGTGTCATTTCGATTTATTGTTTATACCACAGAAGACATATTTAGACAGCTATGAGCGGACAGAACTGCTTTACACTATTTACACATGAGAACATCAAAGAAACATGAAAAGCACAGTTTAGTTGCACTTTGACACATTATTATAGAGGCCACAGGCAATGCATATAATGACCGCATAACCTAAAACATGTCATTCACATTTATTGTCAGAACTATCTCATTTACAATGCATATTTTATTATTTTGTTTCGTTATATAATGTGATACTTAACATTCTTTTTATGAATAATCGCCTTTTCATTTAGATAGAGAAAAACATCAAGTGAGCTTTTGCTTCTAAAGTATCCAAAAATAGATATTACCACATGGTTTATATATTATTTAATATATAAACCACTTTTTCCACACGGTCTACGGTCTGCTACGGTCACATAAAATTACTCATACCATGATATAAGATTTGGGTCACACCGCCCACCCGTAGTGGGTGGATTGCAGAGGGTATTTGGCTTTTGGACAATGGAAAAATGACTGACATTATGAGTGTGTGTGGTGTTTTAGTCGGCTGGTTGCCAGATCTCTTCAGAGAGAGACAGTATAATATCTGACAGCCATTAATCATAAAGCGCTCCTGGGATTTAAATGGCTCGATTTCCTCTTGATCTATATCTCTTTTCAGCAAGCGATAATATCAGCCCTGCAGACACCAGCGATCTCTCTGTCACTCACTTATACACACACACACACACACACCTGGGTCAATGGGACGTGTGTGTGATCGTATATTACCAGAGGAATGTACCGTGATAACATTATTTCCTGCATGATAAATCACTCAGATGCTTCAAAACCTAAAGTCTTTATGGACTCGCTAAACTCCGGACTGGAGATCTCATGCTCTCAAATGCTTTAAATCTGTAGCTTTGTCAACTGGGGTTCAAGAAAAGCTTCTGGGTAGTTCCTGCAGAACGACGGTTGATCCCATAGGAAAGAAAAAACATGCTTGAGAGCTCATTGATATCTCAATTGTTTCTCATAGACGACAATTTAGACAAAACAGCAAATTGAGATGCCATTCCAAACTTGAGCAAATTTCCTGCAGAACACAAAATAAGATATTTTATTGTGTCCAGTGTCCAGACAATACTGACTCACTATACAGACAAAAGAAACACTTAAGACAATTTTCTAAATATCTTCTTTTGTGTTCCACGGAAGAAAAGTCGTACAGCTTTGAAACGAGATAAGGATGAGTAAATCAATTCAATAAAGTTGACATTATTCAATCCTTTATGATTTACATGCTAAGGATTTAGAACAAGGATTTTGTTAAATATTTTTACTTACAATTACTGCTCCATAGAATATTTTATATTTAAGATTGGAACAACTAGAACAATTCATATTCATTCTAAAAATGTCTGTGGCATTTTATTATTTTATTAATTTCCAATTGGCTTTGCCAGATCTATAAATCACAAAATAAGACAAAAAAATAAAACTTTATATAAATAAATATAAAATACAAACCCAATTCCAAAAAAGTTGGGACACTGTACAAATTGTGAGTAAAAAAGGAATGGAATATTTTACAAATCTCATAAACTTATATTTTATTCACAATAGAATATAGATAACATATCAAATGTTGAAAGTGAGACATTTTGAAATGTCATGCCAAATATTGGCTCATTTTGGATTTCATGAGAGCTACACATTCCAAACTCATATATCCAGGTAGATTTTATGCAATTGTCACTGGGTGTGGCCTGCATTATCACAAAGCACTGTTTATTTAATCTGTATCTTTATTCTATTGTATTTATTTGTGTAATTGCTAGTTTTTTTTTTTATTTGTTATTTTTGACACTTGTCTTTAATAATGTTTGAATGTTACAATAGACTAGTAGTTTTTTTGCTGTGGTTTTGACTCAAGAATTGTGAATTGCACTGATATATAAAATGTATTAATAAATAATTATACATTCAAAATTATTAAATTAATTATTATTAAAACATATTTTTTAATGTTTTTATTAAATTGTATTAATGTTTTAGAGTTGAGCTCTGGATATGTGTTCAATGTATTATACTGGGAGAGAATCATCCTTATAGCCTTGTTTGTGCAAAACATTCCTCTCCTACTTCTCAGCATTATTATTGGTTAGAAACTGTATCTTTAGGCCCCATGAGTCATAATCCATCTGAAGAATCAATACTACTCACCTTTCTGATATAAGGATGCTCCATAACCAACCTGCAGCCAATCAGAATACAGATCACCTGTGAAGAAAAAACACACAATCAAATACGCCCAAATCCACACACCTTTCACTATATACTAAACGATTATACTGTGAACACTAGCACATAACACTCCAATAAATATTGAACTTTAGGGCCTGACACTTCTCAAGTCAAATGATGCAAGCAACATCACATAAACATGAATGTGTGTGTATTAATGTGAGCAGTAGTGTCAGGGCGAGGTTGAGACTAATGGAGCTCAAACAGAGACTCCCTTTGAGTCACACACACACACATACACAACCACACACGTAAATACACACAGCATGTCTGTATTATATTCAGCTAGTCATATTAGCATTCTAAACCCAAAGGAAGTGAAAAATCTAAGAAAATCGAAATAAATATAAACACCCAAACATAGTGTCTACACCACAAGCATGCTAGTTTTGTTGACTTTGCGCACTGGCAGTACAGTGAGCTTTGTTGATTGTAACGAGAGTGTTCTAATTTTTTCTTGCAGTGTAGACAACTTTATGATTCAAACAGGCACATCTGCGTTATGACGACTTTGCACACTTGCACTTCAGACAGCTTTGCAGAGATATAATTGTTAACTAAAACTAAAACTATTACTAAATCATTTTTGGTAACTGAAATAAAGCTGCAGTAAAATAAATATAAATATTAAATAAAAAACTTGGACTGAACTTGAAAATGATAAATACTGCCTTGAAAAATAAATTGAAGTACCAAAATTACTAAAACTGAAACAAAAATAAAGCGATACAGAAAATTTTTTAAAAAACGAGTCTTCCATTATAGCTTTTCCTTTAAATATAAATATATACTCGTTGTCAAGAAATGGAAGTATTGCTAATATTGACCGCATACATTTCCAAGTAAAATGGCTAAGCGACAGTGTTGTTAGTTTTAATTAACAATATAAAACATTGTTTCCGTTAATTTTAATTTTAGTAGAAATACATAATTTATAAAATAAAATAAAATAAAATGTTAGAAGAACTTGAAAAACGTAAAAATCAGAAAGCTGTTTTGGCTACAAATATGAAATAAGTAAGTTGAAGTACTAAAATTGTTAAAACAAATGGATTTTAAAAAAATTAAAATTAAAAAATAAAATAAAATAATTATTTAAAATTAAAATAACTGCACAATATAGAATATTAAAAATAAAAAAAATAACAAAAGTGCATAGCTAAAATTTCAATGAAAACTGAAAATAGAAAAATAAAAGCTACTTAAAAATGAATAAATAATATAATAGTACAGTATATAAATGATACTAAAATAACTGCTTATTGAACAAGAAAAAACATAAGATGGATCTTGTTTATAAGCATTAGTTTTTGATTGGATTGTGAAAAGACAGAGTTGCATCATAGACATCAAGTGAGTTATATTACAGGAAGAGCCAGGTATGACATTTTGATTTCATGTTGATTATAAGTGTTCTAGTTTTGTCGATTTGCGCTGTTGATGGAGGGTACACATTCCTTCGCTCTCTCTCATACACACACTCACATCTGCTGTTCGACTCTGGCTGGTTGTTGAGTCTTTCCTGCCTAGTCCCATGACGAAAGGTGGGGGGTGAGGTAAGAATTGGACGCTTTATGCCATATGGTCACACACTCTCCAACGTGAACTCCACATAACACACACTGACACACAGCTGGACCTGATTAGTGCCTCTGTGTGTGTGTGTGTGTGTGTGTGTGTGTGTGTGTGTGTGTGTGTGTGTGTAAGCTCACATAGTTTCAGGTCTCTCACTCTCTGTTCATCCGTGACATTGGACCTACAGTCATATTAGTGAACTTATTTTGATATCACACACAACGAAGATGTTACTGTTGTAAAATGCTACTGCACAACACATAACCGGAAAAACAACAATAGCGTGCAAACGATTATAGTTATAGTTAGGATTCTTTGTATTTTATTTATTCATGTTTTAGGTTAAATATTTATAGCAACAGGCATGACTGTAAAGAAAACTTCTTTAATGAAGATTTCAGAGTGTTATCAGAGACACTGTCTCTAAATCATTAAAGTATCGCCGCTCTAGCCATATTTTTGTAACAAATTTTACAATAAATTTTAAGATAATTACTGTGCACTGTTATGTTAGATTCAGTCTACATTTTATAAAATACTGGTCTATGTACGCATGCAAACAGACATGTTTGGATGTTATGTCGCATCTCCCGTTGTTTGTTTATTTTTGCCTTGAACCACTTTAGGTCCATCTCAGGTTAAAAATATCTTTAAAATGCATCTTGAGAGCTATAAATTCTGCTGAACTCTGTCCAGCTGATGTTGCTATTGTTAACTATGACTAAAACTATTAAAAATTATTTCCGTTAACTAAAATAAAGTTGAGATTAAAACTTTTATTTTTAGACGTGTTCTAAAAAACCCGTCTGATCAGATTATACAGGGTTAAGGCAAATCAATCAACTAGTCCATAATAACAATATGTTGTTAATTCATCTAGCATACTATATTTTGATGTACTCTAAAGGTAATTGTTTAACATGTTTTAATGATCACGAAAATATATAAAGGGTATACGCAACACAGTGAAATCAAGCTATAGTGACTTTGCTAAACACTGAAGACATTGTGTGAACTGTGCTTCAGTCAACAATTGATTCTTGTGTTCATGGAGCAGATGGTTCATAAAAGTCAAAAATCAAGCAGCTAATGGACACAAACAGTCTGATTTCTCCATTATCCCAAGAGAAAGTCTCTCCTGTTGGGATTACCCTCTAAGTGCTGAAAGAGTAGAGGCTATCAAGATAGTGTGAGTTAACTCCTTATCAGAGCAGTTAAAAGTTTCTGTCGCTGTATCATATTCCCAGCAGACGTGTCCTGAACACCCTATATCATGACCAAATCAGCAGTGCAAACCCATCCAGTGTGTTAAAGGAATATTCTGGTTTCGGCGGTTCAAGCTGAGCTGAATCGACAGCATTTTTGGCATATTGTTTATTACCACAAAAAATTAATTTCCACTTGTCGCTACAAATCTGGGTTACAGTGAGGCACTTTATGGTGTAAGTGAACATGGCCAAGGTTAAAATACACACTGCTTCAATAATACAACCACAAAAAGCTAACTATATACATGTTTACACAATGTTAATTAAAAAAAATTATAATAAAAAATAAACAAATTTACTTTTTTTGTGTAAAGTTACATCTGATTTTAAAACTTTGTCGCAATGACAATGCAACAAAACCATAAAATGACTGTAAAAAATATATAAATACCTTTACAGCTTCAAATAATTGAAATAAAAACCACTTACTAAACTTCTTTTCTCTGTTTAGTTATAGCCAATGTTATACAACTGTCATAATGACAATGCAACACCATAAACCCTAAAATGACGATGATTTAAACCGTTTTACACTGTCAAATTGAAGTAGAAAGATGAATGTAAGTACTTTAATAAAATTATAAGCTTGGAGGCAGGACTATCTGTTAGCCTGACCAACAGCAGTTGTTCATGGGAAACTTGTTTGAAAACAGGCAGTATTTCTAATGCAGTGACACACTTCAGCTTTTTTAATGTTATTATAAAATATCACAATACAAACTCACCAAAAGCATATGAAGATCTTCAATTATTTCCCTAACAAAAAAGTGCTGTGCTGCAATAGTACAAAGATGTACCAGATGTTAAAGGGGTCATATGATGCGATTTCAATTTTTCCTTTCTCTTTTTAGTGTTACAAGCTCTTGGTGCATAAAGAAGATCTGTAAAGTTGCAAAGACTAAAGTCTCAAATCCAAAGAGATATTCTTTATAAAGTTAAGAGTCAGCCACACCTACCTAAAACGCCTCGTTCTAACACGCCCCCACATGTCTACATCACTATGTGGGAAGATTTGCATAAAGCCGCCTAAATGTTCACGCAAAGAAAGAAGGCGTAACTTTCATTCTCGCTGTAGTATTGTTGCTGCCGCCGCCGCCATGTCGTGAAGGCACCGTGTGTTTCGTTGTGAAAGCGAAACTACTTTGTTTGGTCTTCCAAAAGAGGACACGACTAGAAATCAGTGGTTAAGTTGTATTTACAACACTGTTCCAGAACAGTTTAACCCAAATATTCAGATGTGTGCAGCACATTTTATGGAGGACTGTTTACTGATCCTGGGAGAGTAACGTTAGACTAAAATGCCGGCAGTTCTGACTCACGTAAGTACGTTTTCATTTAAAGGATTTAC